CAGAGGGGTCAGGAAACCTGACCAATGCCTCACACCTGGTTACAGTTCTGAAGCTCCATCACCCCACTTCCCTGAACCTAGAATCCAGGTTCATGGTCCCCCAGAGGTGGGCTCTGCCAGTGCTCCGGCGCCCTCTAGCGACCGACAGTCCATTCCAATGATAACCAACCAACCCTCTGTTGCCCAGTCTGATCTAGGCAACCTTGGGGGCTTGCTGGAGTTGAACCCCTGCCAGCAAGTTTCTGCCTCCCCCTCCCCACTGTCCTTCAAAGAGAAATAAATTGCCCCACAAAGGGCTATACTTTTCGAAAGGAAGGTCCTTTGTCCATATACTTTAAGCTGAAGAAGTTTTCCAGGGTCCAACTGAAATGCTGTTTTGTTTTTTGTTTTTGTTTTTGTTTTTAAATAAGAATAATGAAGCTATATAGATTGTGTTCTGAAACAGATATGTGAGATCAACATTTGAGAAAGTTTGTTCATTTTTAAATAGGCCTTTAATTTAAAGCCGGGTTAAGATCCCTCCGTGGATTCCCAGAATCATGAATACTTAGAAGATCTCTGTGTGCTTTATTGACTCCGTGTGACATTTAAAATAGATGCCTAAGTCTGTGCATGGACAGCTCTTCCTAAAGCATGCACACTAGCAGAAATGTTGCAGACAATGACTTTGTACAAATTTAATCACATCTGCTGGGTAAATATCGCAGTGTCTCCAAGAGAAAATGTAATAAACTGCCAATTCTGTTTCTCTAAACACCCCAGTGGAGGAGGGGGTCCCCCCATCAGCTCCAACTCATACTCTCCAGAGATGAGCAGTATACATGGCGCCAGGGATTGGCGCCATCACCATAATGGCCTACAGGGAACTGGAGTCTCTTCGACAAGAGGAGTAACCAAGAAGTTCCCTGAATTTTTGTTTCCACATCAGTCCAATTAAACAGAGCCTGTAGATTACCCTCAGGCCCATCTAGTTCGTAGTCATAGTTCCATGAGGGTAAGCTATTCTTTGCCATTCAGAAGTGAATCCAACACAGAACATCTTCAGTGAGCTCCCCCACCCCTGGGCACGGCAAGATCACAGAACTGGAAAAGGGCATACTCTCACCTACTCCCTCTCTTTTCAAGACCAGCCTCAGGGCCTTCAATATGTACTGACCTAACCATTGGTAGTCCTTTGGAGACTTTCAAGAACTCGTCAAACAGAGGACGGACTTACTGGGGTTTACCAACTCAGGGAACTATGGTATACGATATACTATATTTAAAGTATCTTATATGACATTATATTAATTCTCACACACCAAAAAAAAAAAAAAAACAGAATCCCCTTAGAAATGAGATTGCAAGTATAGAAAAGGCTCAGAGCTTGTATCCACACTACCATGCTTGTGTTTTGTAGACACAAGCATTAGCAGATGTTCAGTGAGTCAATGGATACCAACTGAGTCCTTACTATAGACTGCCTAGCTCAAATGCCATAAAAGAGACCATGTACTTGGCCCTGAGCCATTTATTGAGTTTGTTCTTGAACTTAAAGCTAACCTCTACATACCCAACCCTGAGAATGGATTTGAAGTGCCAAGCTAGATTGTTTTCATGTCATGCCTCCAAAAAAGAAAAAGGATAGAATTCCAACAAGAATAAAAATAAAGACCAACTCTGACTATCTGTGTTTGACCTGAAGAGTTTTGGGAAGTCAGTTTCGATGCACCAGAGGATGGTCCTGAACCTGAACTTAGTGGTATTTTATTTTAAATGCATTTAGAATTTTCTGTCTTGCTATTTCATAACTCCAGCGTATCACTACCGTTGCCAAGGAAATGTTACTTGGGTTACTGCCATGGATCCAAAGGGGTTTGTTTGTTTTGTTTTAAAATATTAACAAGACAAAAATGGAAAGATCAAATAAAGGAGATGAATTTACTTCCTTTTTCCTCTTCAAGATCCGTGAGATACAAATCTGACCACATATTTAAAATGCGAAGAATCATCACACAATTTTCCCAACTATAAAACTGATGTCCCATCAGCTAGGTAGATATCCTCAGAATGTACACCACAGGCTCTGTTTTGGATGCAACCCTCCAAAACTTTAAGACCTTTCTGTGTGAGTAAAGATGATCCTAACCTCCCAGGCTCCAAGGGAAGTTGAGGAGTAAAGCTTACAAGTACCTTCAGCTGAAGCTCAAGAGACAGATTCTAATGGGGATGTGAGTAAGGGGTCCAACAGTGACCCAGTTTCCTCCTGTGATTATTCCTTAGTCAGGTAAACTGAAGGCTTTTCACTCACACAATGGACTCAAACAATTATATTTTTTAAACATTTCTCCCCCTTTCTCTCCCTCTTTCCTTCTCTCCCTCTCTCCCTCCCTTTCCTATCCCCCCTTACACACACACACACACACACACACACACACACACACACACACACACACTTTGGAAACATACTATCTTTTTTCGACTAACTACAATGCTACTTTTCATCAAAATTCCACATGCAGATGAAGACAACCTTTACAAGCCATCTTGTAATACGAAACCTGTAAAAGCAGGGTCCCCTTAAGAAGAAGCTGATGATTCAAACAAGATGTCACAGTACTACACAGTTCTACACCTGGAGGTAAACAGGAAGTCTTTTTTTTTTTTTTTTTTTTTTTTTTTTTTTAATCTTTACAGTTAAGAAGCAACTCATGAATCCCAGGCCAGCTATTCTAAAGTAAACATTTATAAGTTCTAGTAAAGTTGCTGCTCAGGAGCTGAGAAACTGTCCATGCCCAGAGCCTAGGCAAGTCCTGTACAGGAAGAGTAAAAACCAAGCTGATCACTCAGGGAGGGCATGAATTTGATGACCACGGGAGTTCTTACACAGGACCATGTGAGTGGGGTCTTGGTTTCATCATAGGCAGCTTTGTTCATGCAGCCATTGGCAACTTCAGCATCCACTCCCACTATGGACCAACAGATCTTTTCATATAAGGCACAGGGGAATCATCTACTTCTGATGTAATTTGAATCTGAACCTGTGAAACTGCCAGAATCTTTCCACCAAAAGTAAATGTGAACATTTTGGCCTAACACATGGGTGTCCCAATTGTATTTCCCAACCTTCCTCTATTTTTTTTTTCTCTCTCTCTCTGTGTAAGGAGCTTTAGCCAACTCAACTCACAGCCCTGATCTACTAAATGGACTTTTGTCAGCCCTTCTTTAATACTAGGCAGGGAAATCAAATGAGTTCGACCCAGGGGTAGTTCAGGGAGGCAAAAGGAAACATCAGAATGTATCTAATTACAGAGAAGTCTCCCCTGAGTCCTGTCTTACCTTCTGCTAAGAAATGTGGTCTTCCTAAACTTGAAAGGCTTCGAAAGTTGCCTCTTTGCTGCTGGCTTCTAGGCAAGTATAGCTAGGAAGTTTAACCTGTTACTGTGAACTATAAAGTGATGCCATGGATGCAAAAATACCCACCTACATTGTAAAGAAAGTTTGAATGGGTGGGGCTTAAATTGTTTTGATATAAAGCAAAACCAACACAGATGCCTTTAAAATAGAAACCGTGAAGGAGTGGGCAGAGGTTAGGAGTAGGGAGAACTCAACTTGGAGCAAACATAGTTTAGGGGTTTTGTTTAAATAAAGATGGGGTTTAGTCTCTGTTTAAGGACATTTAAGTAGGGGCTGGAGGGATAACTTGCCAGTTGAGAACACCTAAGGACTCTGTATCAGCCCAAAATACTGCTCAGAAAACAGAAAAACAAGTGAGCCATGAGAAGCCAGAGCAGTGCTTGGGAAATTCTTGCAAAGCAGTAAGGAGCTGAAGCTCTTGGTTTGGTCTGCAGAGTTTCAAAGATGATGTGCAAACTGCTAAAACACTTGAGTTCCAGAGGCAGGGAGACTCTGGGAGCTGGTTGGTCCACAGCAAGGGGGCTGGAAGGAGACTGCACCTCTCTTACAAACTTTCCCAAGGCTCTGTGCCCTCTCCCATGCCACCCCCAGTCTATCTCTTGTATTTGGGTTCCCATTTCCTGCCACCACCTCCCTGAATTTCCCCAGGGAAGCCTCCCCAAACCCTGCCCTTACATCATTTCTACAGCCCCCTTGTAAGCCCCCTTCTCTCTCCTCCAATATAATCTGGAAGGCAGAATGAGACTAGAAACCTGGAAGCCCACTTGCATATTCCTAAAAATACTGCTTGGATTCTGCCTGCTCCCACCCTATGCTGTTCAACTCGGTTTCCTAACTGACTCCCCCCACCCCCTTGGAGTCAGTTCTAGTAATCCTTGGGTATCTGCAATACCACCAAGTGTCACCATCTAGTCAGAACCGTTTTCCAGTGCTTCTGGGTCCTCTTTAGCACCTTGTTATTTTACTTAACAAAAAGAAAAAATGCCAAATGCCGGCGACTGAGCCAAATAAGACACCTGCCAGCAAGCCCATAGGTTAGTTGTGAGCCTGACAGTCATGTACACAGTTAAATATTATTAGGACTTCTTGGTAAAGAATGTAGAGAGGATGAATCCAAACCGCAGGAGGTCAAGCCATTGGCTATTATGAAGCCCCACACCTTTCTCCCTTTCTTTCTGCCAGATGGGAAACAGCAACTTCAGCCTGGACTCTGGTCCCCTCCCCCTTCCCATTTCTAAAACAATAATAATCTTCCCCCAAACCAGTAGGACTTCCCCAGCCAGACCTCACTGAGGTGCAGTGCTCCTGCCTGGGGTCTCCCTCCCCAATTCACCTGGAAGGATAGAGTTACAAGAGAAAGCAGGTATATGGCTGAAAGTTTTTTTTTTTTTTTTTTTTCTCTCCTTTTTTTTTTTTTTTTTTTTTTTTTTTTTTTTTTTTTTGCCTTTAAGAAGGACTGCTGTTCCTGGCGCTGTTCAGAACAACAGCAACGACAAACAAGCCAGGCTGGGAGAAAACCCAATGCTTCTCAAAAGTTGGTCTGGCTACGCATCAGCCCTGACGAGTTTGCAAGAACACGGGGCTCAGAGTTGGCATCTACTCACCTGGGTGTGACAGCCTCAGAGACTAGAAAGAGAATTCAGCCCGGGACAGGTCTGTCCCGCCCCCAGGATACAAAATCCGCCTTGGAGTGGAGGTCCTGGGTGGTGTAGTTGTAAAGAGGTCTTAGGAGGGTCGGGCTTCCCTCCTCCCTCTTTGGTCCTCTGAGGCCAGTTTAGCAATAGCCAAGGAGGATAAAGATGCTGGGAGGAGAGTTTGGTCGCTCTGGAAACCCCGACTCCATTCTTGGGGATGGGGGCGGGGGAAGAGGTGAAACAGCGTGAAGGGAGCTGCAAGGCTCAGAAACTCGCGGAGTAAAGAGGAAGGAACTAGGGAAGGAGGGAGGGAGCAGAGGAGTGAGGAAGGAAGGAAAGGAGGAAGGGAGGGGGCTGAGGGTGGGAGATGGCAGCTTCTCAGTAAGATTTCCACCTTCTGACGAAACCCTTGCGCCCAGCAGCCCCACAAGATACTAGTTCCTAAGCCTCCTCTCGAGCGCCCCCTGGGGGGATTCTAGGGACTCAGCGACGCCCCGCCCTGAGCTCGGCCCTGGCGCTCTCCGTGGTCCTGCCGCGCCCTCAGCCCTGATTCCCAGCTCAGCTTTGCAACTCCCACCAGCTCCTGGGAGGCACGTGATTCTCCTTATTCCATGATAAAGCGGTGAAATCACGGGAGCAGAAGGAAGAGAATAAGAGCTATACTTTTTTCTTTTTTCTGCATGCATCCAAGGAAACTTCTTGACCGGCTCAACTATCACTAAAAGTGGAGGTGACTTTGCGCACTTATTTTTGTTATTTACATATCAATAAGGGCACAAATGAATGAATGGACAGCTAGTCTTCTCTTCACCTCAGAATGTTTTCCTGAATACAAACACCCCAACAATAAAGAAATGCTTAGAGGATGTATGTTTAAAAATAGACCTTATGGCTGAGGTTGTACTCAGTTGGTAGAGTGATGACCCAACGTAAAGGGGGCTCTGTGTTCAAGTACCAGCATCATACAAAGCCAGGCATGCCATTGCATTCCTGTAACCCAAGAATTTTGGAGGTGAAGGGCAAAAGGCTCAGAAGGTCGAAATTACCCTGAACTACACAGGGGGTTTGAAGTCAGCTTGGGTTAGAGACACTGTCTCAAAAACCCTAAAGCAAAAACGACAGGTCTTGTTTAAGGAACAGCCACTGGCACATATTATCAAACACCCTGAGCACCATATGAAGCATTTACACAAGAAGTGGGTGGGTTTGTTGTTTTGCTCTGTAGTGACAAGAAGCAACATCTCTAGCCCTTATGAGGCTATTTGAAAATGGTTACAAAAGTATTCAGAGTCAAATTTGGGCAACTGAACAAGTAAGAGACACACCAGGCTAAGTTTCCACTTATCTCTGCGGAAATAGGTTAACTAGATAACCAAAATTTCCCACAGATTGCCATAATCAGAATGAAATCAGACTTCAGAGTCCATAAGGTGAAATGAATAAAAGGCTCTTGCTGGACTTGGGAGTGACACGGGGTGAGAAGTGATGGACAAGCACACAGGGTGAGGGAGAAAGGGGTCTCCCTCTTTGCTTTGTTGACATATACACAAGATCTCATTTTGGTTGAAGGGTTTGGTTATCAAATTTACACCACTGCGCAGTTCTTAGTTTCAAAGGCCAGAGAAGGATAAATGACAGGATATGGCAATGGAGACTCATTGATGATTCCAGAAAGCAAATGGAAAGGCCTTTGAAAAGATACAATTTCCAGAAAAAATAATCAACATTTTCCTTCCCCCACTCACCTCACAAGCCATTCCAAGATGGAATATTAGCCAAAGCCTAGGAAGATAACCCTGAGAGAACCTGACTGGACATGGAGCTTACACATGAACCTGTGCTTTGCCCTGACTGAAAACACTTTAGTCGTGTAATTATGCATAAGCTAGTTATTGAGGACTTGGCATATGAGGGTACAATAAAGGACAGGTCTTCAGGTTTGGACATGAAATATGCTCATAGCACTTCTGGAAACTTCTGGAGCTTCATCTAAGTTACATGTAGCTGCACTGAAAGGACTGGCTCCCAGGAATACTCAGGGTTCCTTGCCAGGGAAAGGAGGATGGGTTTTGGAAAAGCAAAGCCAGCAACATGCCTTCTAATACTTCCTAGACTGTGCTCTGTAGCTTCTAACCTTAGGAATGAAGTTCATGTTGGGCTAAATTTTGCAGAGATGAAATAACGAAAAGGAAGGAACGATTTGTTTTCCTTGCATGTTGACTATGAACTCTTAATGTTGAAATTCCACACCAGGGTTATCATCTCTGTTGATTGCAGCCACAAAGCCTAGGAGAGTGTCTCCACTTAGCAGACAGTCAGCACACAGTTATTCAATTTAAAGGATGTTTTTAATATCTTATAGGCCAGTTAACACAAACCTCTTATTTCACAGGCAAGAGAAAGGCAGTTATGATGTGCTGAACACATGTTATTTCCAGTATCAGCTTTATCCAGTATTTCTTCTTATCAGCCCATGTAATGTTTATAGCAGCTTTCCCAAGTAAGTTTTATCATGTCTACCACAAACCTGATTCAGGTGGTTGGGATAACCAGACCATGACTCAGTTGCTGAGTATTACTTGAAACAAGCTCCTAAGGTGCCCAGCAACTAACTATGGATTATAGAGAAATTAACAGAGTCAAAACCGACAGAGAAAACCCTATCTCCTCCCCTGTGTTAAAGGCTTAGGCATGCAAACTAAACACAACACCGAAACTTGTGACTGCCAGCAGGCTTCAGCTCCCTAATTAGAAACAGTTGCCTGCGAACCAGTGTGCAGAACACATGTGCAGCTTTTTGCCAGGGTATTTTTTTTTTTCTCAAGGCATGACACTGAAGGTAAATACAAAGAGGCTCTGTGCAGAGCACATAAGCAGAACTTACTCCCACCTCTCATATGAAACCAGCAGCTCAGTTGTACAAACAATTTATAGCCGGCTAATAAACTCTCTTCTCCATCGCTGCCCCCACAGCGAGTTGCCCACCAGCCAGAGTCTCCTCAAGGACTGTGAGATCAAACCCTCCTTTTCTCTGCACCACTCACCTCCTCCCAACTCTCCTTTTCATAGAGTCTGTGTTGCTGGGTTCTACAGCCATGGTGAAGGTTATCTAAAGCCAAGCTGCTGAACTCGGTGGCACCAGCGTTCCCAAGCTGAAAGGAGGCTCCAGTTCGGAATGGCTTCACTCGCTGGTTCTGTTTGATAACATAAGGGGAGGCATCCGCTCTGTGTCCTATGCCAGTATGAAAGGCATCTCACCCATCAGTATGACAAGTCAAAGGCTGGAAGGTAGCCAGGGAACGAGAGGGAAGGGATGTGAACTCTTCCCAGTGCAGTTGATAGCATTTTTAAGGGTGGCAGATGATGAAGGGGAAAAGCAGGCGGAGAGTCACTGCCCTACATCAGAAACCTTGGCTCTTTCCCTGAGTGAGTCAGGGTGAGCATTTTGTTTTGAAATGGAATTTCTGTTTTCTTTCTTTCAAGCTGTAGGATGGTTACACACTCAACCAGTCAAGGCGACGGCTGTAAATAACAGGATTTATTTTTGAGACTGTGGATCAAAGACAAGCCTTGAATCTCACCCCAGGGTTATTTATAGATCGAAGGTGTGTTCTTCTTCTTCTTTTTTCTACTTCATGTAATTTTGAGATATGCTTTCCTTTTATATTTCCATGCACTCCTGAGGTGGATTGTGTTGCTGGAAAGCAGAAAGGGCTTTTCCAAGGAAGCCTTTCTAAGATATGAAGAGGCAAGGGAGAATTCATGTTCCAAACAAAGTTTGAATAACACGTTCCTAACTCAGACAAGAGATTACAGGAGCCCTGTATGACCTGTGATGCCTCTAATACTCAGTGACAAGCCATGCTATGGAGGGGCACCTGATACTTGTATCTGCCAATAGGTGGCATCAAAATCTCTCTTGCTTTTCCTCCCTAAATTTTAAAAGCCACAAGCAGAGGGCATTTTCTTTCAGAGACCTTACAATTTACTGTGGGTGGTGTTAGAAAGGACACTAATTGAGTCTGGTATTTCATAGCAGGCCATCCTATTATCTATGAAGAGATACTAGGCCAATTTTCTATACCTCACTTTCCACATTGTAGACAGAATTTTCTTGAATGGACCCCAAGACTTAGGACCCTGCTGTCTAGCCACATCACATAGCTGCAATAAGCCCTCGGAACCTTATTCCTTTGGGTTGAAGGAAACATTAGCATCATCTAACCCCCTGTTATAGACACTGCTGTCTGCCCTATCTTTATTCATATTTTTTGTTTGCTTGTTTGTTTTGTTTTTATGAAGAAAAGCACAATGCTTTAAAAGGGGGCAGTATTCCCAGCCCCCAAGTCTATATTTCCCAGCCTTGCTTGTGTGGGGGTTAGTCATGTGATTCATATCTAACCTATACCCATTTGCATTCATTAGTAGCATTAAAAATGCATCTTTGCAGTTTGCCTGGCCTATACTGAATGCCAGGAAGTCCTAAGTGGCTAGTAGCTAGCATATTGAAAAATCCACATAGAATAGAACATGGCCAGCACTGTGGGAGGTTCCATTGCTGATGGTTGAAGTGGGATGGCTCAGGAGCACTGTAGAAGGGAGGGAGGTAACTGACTCCACCACAGGGACCGTGGCCCTTCTCTGGTTTCTACCCAGAGTGAAGCGGGTCAGACACCATAAGGCCACAGAATAGCATTTGCTAAAGGCGGGTTGAGCAGAAAGATAAAAGGAGCCTGGGCTTTTAATACCAGGAAGACAACCATTATCTCCAGGTTTGTTTGTTTGTTATAGGAAAAGAAAGCCATCCAAAGCCATTATTTTCAGCTTTTTATTCCTTAGCACCAACTATTATTTCTAATTGATGGGTCCTCAGAACATTACACGGACAACTTTATATTAATGACTTTAGGCAAACAAGACTATTTTTCTGGTTTCCTTTATTTGGTCGTTGAAGACAAGATGCTAGCTAAGGGAGATAAAGTAATGCAGATGGTACGAGAGAGCATTATGGAGCACTCATTTCAAAATGTCAAAAGAGACAAAAGGAGTGAAGATGGGCATTAGGAAACAGCTAAAATGAATGTCTCCTGGTTTATTGCTCGGCCAGAGAGCAGCTATGAATTTCCCTGGAAAGGAGGTGAGTGGGTATGGTTAGAAAAGTTAAACAACATATTGAGGGTGAAGTGGATTGACAACATTATCATGGTGACCTCTCATGACAATCCAACACAGTAAGTACTCATAGCACCATCCCTTTTGATCATAAACTGGGGCTTAGGCAAATTAGCCTGGCAACAGCTGCGCAGCTAGCTAGCTCTGGTGTGAGTTTCATATCCGGATCTTAGGGGTCCTTGCCCTGTTTTCTGATGAAACTCCACTAGTTCATGCTATTAGATTTGTGCTTGCTCATCTCAAGGGACTGCTTTGTCATAGTTTTTTGAACAAGCTTCACTCTTCTCTACCATCATAAGATACAGTTATTTTTATCTGTATGAACTCCCAATCTCTCTCTCTCTCTCTCTCTCTCTCTCTCTCTCTCTCTC